GAAGGAAGGAAGGAAGGAAGGAAGGAAGGAAGGAAAAGGAATGAAAGAAAAGGAATGAAAGGAAAGCAAGCAAGCAAACAAGCAAGCATTACAGCCCAGGGCACATTTCCAGAATACATCTCCAGCATGCTTATAACATACAGAACACACTGTCATTTTGTTTAGAAAAATTTATACCATGAACCAATTTTCTCTACTTTCATAAGCAGGGTACCCCACGCACACTGAAATTCATTCTTTCCTTCTTTTCATCCTTCCTTATCCCCTTCCTTCCTTCCTCTTTGTACCCTCCCCTCCTTTCCTTTCTTTCTTCCTCCCCAACTCTTTGATTTTTTTTCTGAGGCAGTCTTGCTACACAAACCAGACTAGAATTGAATTTGCTATATAGTTCAAGTTGGCCTTCTCCTGATTGTCTCACCTCACCCCCCAAGTGCTGGTCTTATAGGCTTATACCACCAGGCCCAGTACTATCTCAGACTATATCATGAAAATGGACTGTTACAGATAAAAAGAGAACTCAAGGACATAAGAATTAAATGTGATATTCAGTCCTAGACTGAAACCTGATTTGCAAAATCAGCTATAATGGGGTGTGTGTATAACTTTTTATTTTTTCTTTTTGCTGGTTCTGGGGCTTGAACTCTGGGCCTACATGCTGTCCCTGAACCTTTTGCTCAAAGCTACTTTTGTGCTCTACCACTTGAGCCACAGGTCTACTTCTGGCTTTTTGTGGTTAACTGGAGATAAGACTTTTCTTCCCAGGCTGGCTTTAAACCATGATCCTCATCTCTTAGCCTCTTGAGTAGCTAGGATTATAGATGTGTGTGAGATACCAGCACCTGGCTTACAATGGATATTTTTAGAGCATTCAGGAAATCTGATGATGAATTGCTATGATGTCTGTAGTCTATCTTCATATACTTGATGAGTTTAAAAATATAGATACATGAAGAGAATAAAAAATACTACCCAGTTATAGTTTAAAACTCTTCCAAAGTATCATTAGCTAGGGTCAAAGTTTTAAAACTGAAGTGACTTTTACAGTGAATGGTTATTTTCAAAAAGATGGATGAACTCACCCCTGGCATATATTCCATAAAGATGGAAAGTGTTTTTTCCTGGGGATCCCTCAGACAGCCATAATACTGAACAATTCGCTCATGCAGCAAGTTTTTCAACAACTGAATTTCACACTCAAGTGCATTTACTTCCTGAAAGACAGACAGTACTCACTGTTAAAAGTCTTTATAATACTGTTAGTAAAAACAAAACATTCCTACTTCATTACTGAATTGATTTCATTCTGAAATGATGACTGCCCAAAGAACACCCTACTGTCTAACCAGTACTTTAAAAAAACACACACTTCTAATAGATATGCTAAAACAACTCTAAATCATAAAGTATTAAAACAGAAATATCCAAAGCACAAAACAGACAACATCTAATCAAATTATATTGCTCTCCCTGCATCTAGTAAAAATGCTTCTTATAAATGTGACAAAGTAGTCTGTGGAATTTTACCTTGCTGGTTTCAGGGCTATCAGGGTCAAACTGAACTTGCTTAACAGCCAATTCTCTTCCTGTATCAACATCATAACAGAGATAGACCCTGCCAAAGGCTCCTTGACCAAGCAGTTTTCCCAATCTCCAGTTGGTTGGAGCTCGAGGTGCTGAAAAAGAAGTTTCTTAGCAAATGAGAATTAAAAATAAAAAAAGAACAGTTTCTTAAAGTGGAAAAGTCAGATGGCATATGAATAAAGATCTGCATTCATTTCATTCTTGAACACAAAAGGAAATCTTGACTATCAAAATTCATAATAGTCTCCATATTTCAAAAGTTTTCTCTTTAGTGAATCGTCTAAGAATTCTAAACTCGGGGCTGGGAAGGTGGCTCAGTGGTAGAGCACTTGCCTTGCATGCATGAGGCCCTGGGTTCCATTCCTCAGCACCACTTAAGCAAAAAGAAAAAAAAGCCGGAAGTGGCGCTGTGGCTCAAGTGGTAGAGCGCTAGCCTTGAGCTGAAGAGCTGAGGGACAGTGCCCAAGC